TGTGTTGTTCCATAAGCTATTTACATTAGACAAGGCTATTAGTGGATCTAAACTGAGAAATTTTTCCTGATATTCATTTTAGCCTCTAAAATTATGCCCTTTTCAGGATGTGAGTTTCCTGAATCTCTAGAACAAAGTGATTCCACTTTTAAACCTGGATGGAAGGACATATTTCGTATGAATCAAAATGAGCTAGAGTCGGAAATAAGAAAGGTCTCCCGAGACTCATCGCTTGATCCAAGAAGAAAAGCATATCTTATTCAAAATCTTATGACCAGGTTTGTTTTCAATAAATCCATCTTTTTAAACCTTTATGATTGCTATATCATTGTCATTATTCCACGTAACCTATTGAGCATCTGTTGTTCAGTCGCTGGATAGCTGCTCAGCAGGAGTCTGAAGCAAGATCTGTTGAAACTTCAAATGGTCAAGATCAAATAGGATGTTCACCTTCATTCCGTGATCCAGATAAGCAAGTGTTGGGATGTGAGCATTATAAAAGAAACTGCAAGCTCCGAGCAGCTTGCTGTGGTAAACTATTTCCATGCAGATTCTGTCATGACAAAGTCAGTGATCATTCTATGGATAGGTAAATTTCTGGATGCATTTCTGTTTCTAATCAAACTCCATTGCATGTCTAATTTTTCTAGTAATTTGCAGGAAGGCAACAACTGAAATGATGTGTATGAACTGCCTCAAAGTACAACCAGTTGGACCTACTTGCACGACTCCATCCTGTAATGGCCTTTCGATGGCAAAATATTACTGCAGCAGCTGTAAATTTTTTGATGATGAAAGGTGATACTAAAATGACACTACTTGTTTCTTGTTGATGAAGTAGGTTGAATCACATAAGTCAATTAGCTAGAACATAAAACCCCCATTTAATAAAAAATTGTCTGTCGATTTCTTGAGAAAATCACATGAAAATCTATTTCAATACTTAATTCCTTTAGTCAAGGATGAATCCTTGGGTCTCTACTATTTCTGCTTCTTGTACATGTTGCAAGATGAAATTATACCTCTAATAGATCTTTGATCTTGATTACTACATTCTATTTGTTTCCTACTTCAGGACAGTATATCATTGCCCGTTTTGCAATTTATGCCGGCTGGGGCAAGGACTAGGTGTTGACTTTTTTCATTGCATGACCTGCAATTGCTGCCTCGGAATGAAACTTGTGGACCACAAATGCAGGGAGAAAGGTCTTGAAACCAACTGTCCAATATGTTGTGATTTTTTATTCACATCAAGTGAAACTGTCAGGGGTCTGCCCTGTGGGCATTTTATGCATTCAGCATGCTTTCAGGTCTGTTTGCTTTTCTCTGCTAGGCTATTTTCATGCCTTTGTTGTCAGAAAGGATTATGTTGGTTATTAGAAATTTAATTTGAACTAAAAGCAATCTCTTTATTTCCTCAGGCATATGCTTGCACACACTACATCTGTCCCATTTGCAGCAAGTCTATGGGAGATATGTCGGTAAGGGATGTTCTTCCTTCTTTAAACATACCTTTTTGCCGAGTAGTGATGCTTGTTTGTGTAAATCCATGGAATTATTTGCAGACACAAGAATATTGTGAAATATCTCTGTTATAACCTGTTAAAGCTTTAAAATATAGACTATAAAAATATAGTGTACTGTTTAATTTTCTTTTTTTTTTCTGTTGTAAAGAAGAATTTCCAGGTTGCACTAATAGTTGGTTTAATTTCTATGTAGAGTCAAAGCTAACTTGGTGTGTTTGTGATAAAACTTATTTAATATTTCCTTTCTAGAAATAGGAACTGCATCAAGCCTATAAAATGGGCAGATGAATGTGCAAATGTGCTTGTGTTGGTCAAGTAGCTTTATTTATTCTTCCATAGACAGGAGTGCTTGTCTGTTTTGTGATTTCTTCTATTACTCCTCCATTTTGTACTCAACTATGAACCTTGCCTGATCCACAAAGAGTCTCATCTAATTGAAAGAAAAAAGAGAAGTTTTATTAGGAAAAAATCAATTTTGCAGCAGATGCATGTAACATCATACTAATATTATGCATCTCTTTTGAATGTTATGTACGACATAGTTTGATATTGAGATGCTTTATTTAATGAAATTCTAGTACTGTTAAGAATGAAATAGGACATTGTGTTTGATCATATTGTATAAAGAAATCATGTCGTCTTCTCACTTCTTGTGGATAGTTATAGCATGTAGCCCTATATATTTCTTATTTCGAGACCTTTCAATCTTTATGTATCCTTTTTCGTTTCTGTTCTATTGCTCAGATGAATGACCTCAACTTTCATTCTCTCTTTTAGGTGTACTTCGGGATGCTTGATGCTTTGATGGCTTCGGAGGTATTACCAGAAGAATTTAGGAACCGCTGCCAAGTATGGAATCTTTTTTAACAACTCTTATGCTTATTAGTTATTTCTGAAGCTTTTTCTCAAAAAAATTTATATGAATTTCCCCAGGATATATTGTGTAACGACTGTGGTAAGAGGGGAACTGCACCATTCCATTGGCTATATCACAAGTGTGCATCTTGTGGATCCTACAATACCAGAGTGATAAAGGTGGAAACAAGTCCTAATTGCTCCAGCTAATGAGACCTGTCGGATTACCAACGGACTGAGCCTAGAGGGGCAGAAGAGGGAGGGGTGGGTGGTGGGTGGAAGGTTTCTTCCAGATCTTCTCATCACTATATATACAAGGTCGTAAGTTTCTTTTATGTATATATAATATATGTTGAATCCTTTGGTAAAAAATCTTGTCTCCGTTACTGAGATTACCCTCTCATAGGATTACATACATCGCATTGTTAAGTGCGAGCTCGATACATAGGTTTGTAAAATACATGAGCAATAACGGTCACCAAAGTTTTGTTATTGTTATACACCAAACATACTGTTTAGCCAAATTCATGTTTGCAAGTGTTTATGGTACGATTTCGTACATACAAGGAGGTCATGTTCAGAACAGAATGTTTTCATCTACTGTAGGAACTTTTCTTCTCTTATGATTTTTATTACTTTCTTTTTGATAGTATTGGCCTCGTTTACACACTGTTTGGATCATTGTTACCCATTGTTTCATAATGTACTGTATTGTATTGTACTATATTGTACTGTATTGTATGATAGATACAATGTTTGGCTAGACTGTATTGTTTGTTGTTGTTTAATAACATTTTTATTGTTTGGTTTGACAATATCGTATTGTATTATAATTTATAAATTTACTAAAATATTCTCAATTATTCTAGGGTAGGGGGTTTGACTAGAATTAAATAATATATGGTAAACGGTAAAAAAGTATTATGAAATATTATGTCATGATATAATTGAAAAGAGAAATTAAGTAACAATGAGAACACACCAAATCGATTGTTCCATAAAATGGGGGTTTTCATTGTTACGTAACAACGAAATTTAACAATACAATACATTTTAAGTAACAATCAAAACAAATATTGTAGGTATGATAACGATACAATACAATACAATGGATAACAATGATCCAAATAGAGTGTTACAGTATCAGTCTAATCACTCAACTTATCCACTCGTGGAGTGCATTTGGTAGTAGTTGAAACTTCGCCGTTTCTTCTTCAGTAAAGCCGAGCCCAACCTGCCTATCAATTAAAGAGGTTGAGAGTAAGCGTAAGCTCACTCGGAAGCTTAAAGAGCTTTCCTTCATTTGCTTCATGGGAGTCGCACAACACATTACTGGAAGTCAGAGGGTCAATACTATATGCCTAACCCTTTGCTCCTAGGGACCGTAGATTGGAAAATGCCTTCTAACCCTCCTAATATGGAAGAAGTTTAAAAGGTAATTTTAGCATGTTGGCGCGCACTAACCCAAAAAAAGCCGCCCCTATCCTATAAAGTCATTAAGCTTTCGAGTTTCTTTTATATAGAAAATATTGTTGGGATTTCAAAAACTTCCATCTGGTCACCTTATTTCTTCGCTGAAGGTGTGATCCCTAATAATTTTACCACTGCACGACAATTCATATTGATGATAATCTCTTCTTTTGCTAGAAAAAAAAAGAAAAGATAACTATATGTTGGCGTTCTCCTATCAAAGATAAATGATTTAAACATCATGAAGCATTACTAAAAGCCAAAGAGATAGCAACTTGGCCACGAAGGACCACATGGTTTGTCGTGGGACGGTTCGAAATCCTTTCGCTCTTGAGTTAGAATATTTGAAAATGAAAAAAATCTTGTTGAGAGCATCGTTTCCAAAAATAAATTATGCAATATATGAATTTAAATTTGATCAGATTTTAATATAGATATCGAGTGCAAATTAAAAAAAGAGAGACAACTTGCAAATTAAGGAATCAATATTCAACATGATATACAATCAACTAAACCAGCTCCCCATGTTCACTATGAGAAAATGAATACAGAGAGATGACATTATATATTATACTATAAACTATAAATATAATCTTGGAAAATCATTTACTCCACGTCTTTCACCCGTTTTGATATACAATACATATTTGAATTTGATACGAAATTTACATTTACAAAATAAATATATTTCTTATGCTTGTAAAAGTACCATTAACGTTTTGCGGTAAAATAAAAGGTTCAAATTTTAAATATACTCAATCATAGAAATGTACATTGTTTTTTTAAAGAATAACAATAGATTAACCTTGCTTCTCCGATATTCAAGTATAAATTTCAGCGACTGAAAACCTCTATCAATAAGATCGAGAAATGGAGACTCCACCCGTTAGGTTGTTATCTCTATCATTGAGACCTCTCGGCGAGAAGACCTTAAGATAAATTGTCAAAACAAACAGAATAGGAGGATCCATCTGTCCAAATAATTTCGAAGAAAGACTATACATGTCAAACAAAAAACCATATTAAAAAACAAAAATCAAGCTTTCATTTTTTTTTGGGACAAGATTGCCCCTATAAAATACTTTTTGAATAGCAAAGCTAGCTATATTTCCTTAACCTCACATGTACATATTTGTACTTTCACAAGGTATAACTTCTCCTGATAAAATTTTTAGCTACACAAACTTTCAAAATTGAAATTTTTTTTTCAAAATCAGAGAAAGCAAATAAAAAAGCTCAGCTGAAGAAATTTTTTGGGGTAAATTTCTCTTAAACCCTGGCTATTTTTATTCAATTTTTAGTATAATTGCATTGATTTTGATTCCTGTTATTAGATCTCTCTGTTAATGGATGTTATACTTGTTGAAAAATTTGATATTTATCCAAGAAACGAAAAGGGGTGATTCAATTTTATGAATTTTGTATTAAAAACTGATTAATTCATCTCGAATTTTAATGGGTTTGTGTTAAAATCTTGTTTTTTGTCTGTAGATTTTGGGAAATCAAGGTTTTTTTTGTGTTTTATTGATTTTTGCGGTGGAAAAAGGGTGTAATGAGTGGTTCAAAATTGGAGGGGCCATCGGCTCCGGTGGTAAGACGAGACCCGTATGAAGTGTTGGCTGTTACGAGGGATTCGTCGGATCAGGAGATTAAGACTGCTTATAGAAAGCTTGCTCTCAAGTAAGTTTATTCCTAATACATATTTCTAATTTTAGTTTATAGTTAGTTTTTGCTATAATGGTGTTTAAATGTGGTATTGGATTGAAATAGACCTGAATAAAGCAGAATATGTGTAGCAAGTTTATGTAGCTGACACAAGTAGTTGGAGTTTAAGGTGTTTGTCGGGGCCAACTTGCGTGCACCTCGACTAATTACATAGATGCCCGCCACCTCCCACTAACAATAGGGTACTAGGTAACTCTATCTACCAAGGCTAGACAGATGTGAAGAAATCGCATAGTGTTTCACTTCATGGTGAAAACTTTAATCTTGAAGCACTAGGGAACGGCCACACCCTTGGGTGCTTTAAGAGCGGTATTGAATGATGGTATAACTGAGGTGTAAGTGTAACCAGTAACCTAAACAGAAATTTAGTGAGGATTGTGGCGAAATGTGTATGCATTTTTTGTTGGTATTTGTTTTGGAGCTTGCTGTTACCACACGGCACACGCGGTTATTGAATTACGGTAGTAAGACAAAAAATTGTGGAATTTATGGTCAACTAATTAATTAGGTTATGTGATGATTGCCGCATATTGTCATTTGAAGAAATATAATATAAATGGAGAGACTTGCTTTTACCATATATATACCAGTGTTATCAAAAGTGAAAAGTGCAAAAATGCTCTTAAGGTTCACTGGCTTGAAGCGCAAATGAAGTGTGGGCTTTATTGGGGAAAAGGCGCAAATGAAGTGTGGGCTTTATTGGGGGAAAAGGCGCAAATGGATAAAACATATATATATATGTTTAAGTCCAAGACTAATAATTATAAGCATGAAAAACAAGTATATATGAACAAAGAAATTGATTGTTTTTACGATAAAGTGAAATATCAATGGTTTAGCGTCGCCTCTTCAGGAAATTCTCATTCACAAGGAAAAACATGTCTTAGAGCTTTGATGACGACATTGAAGCGCTCATTAAGCGAGGCGAATCGCTCAATGCATTTTGAGCCTCGCTTCTGGGCTTAAGCGAGCCTTGGATAACACTGATATATACGTATGATGTATCTGATGGAGAAAAAGAATGTGATGGAAAGTGAAATTTGGTTATAGAGGAAAAGGTGGCTGAAATTTTTTGGGCTGTGGATGTTGGGATTTGGGGAACTTTTTGATTTGATACTTGCTCTTGTGGATGAATAATGGAATGCATAAATTATTGGCAGGTATCATCCTGACAAGAATGCTAACAATCCTGAAGCTTCAGAACTCTTCAAGGAGGTTGCATACTCATATAGCATTCTATCTGATCCGGAGAAAAGGAGGCAATATGATATGGCTGGCTTCGAGGTACTCACCCCCTGCCACTGTAAAAGACATATTTTTTTCCGACATGGTTGTTCATCATGAGCAATGATGTATGATGCGAAAGACTTTTACTATTTTGCTGTTTTTAAAGACTGAAATCATGGGAGAATATTTTGTTTGATTTATATATCCTTACATTTGCTTGCTATGTATCACGTTGCATTTGAATGAGGTTACTGAGTTAGCAGTAGAAAGAAAGTAGTTCATAGATAGAACTCTTTATGTTTTTGATTTCAAGAATGGTTATAGAAATAAGAGCTAGCTTAGGCTAATATTGCTTATATGATAGGTTGTAACTTTATGGCTTCAACCAAGCATATCTAGAAAGATTGAATACTAAGTGCTGACAATATAAACTTTACATATCGTAAAGGTTCAACAAAATGTGGATACTTGAAAGTTGTAGGATAATGCTGCAGCAATCTATATGTTAGAACACTCCTTTCATTCTCGAAGTTTCTGTCCTGTTGTATTTGTGGATATTAATAGGTGTAAAGCTGAAAAGTCATCCTATCAGCTGCCATTTTCTGGACTCCTCACTTCTCCTTGAGATTTCTAGTCGAGGATTGTTTATAGGGTCCCCAAAATATATTAGAAACATGTTACAACACAACATGTACCTACAAAGGCAGTTTTTGTTTTCATGTTAGTAGCAAAAGGTGTTTCTATTGTGTGTTACAAGATCTTCCTAATGCCAGTATCTTTCAATTCGAAGGTTATAGTTCATCTAAGTGATGCCATTCATGTAACGACTGTATAAAATTTTATGCTAGAAATAAGTGAGAATTGAAGTACAATGAAAGGATCTAGCTACTGGACATTGTCCCAATAGACCAGATCTGCACATAAAAAAGCATATTGGCCTAGCTAGGATAGAAATTATGATTGTCCAGCCATTTTGGGAGATGACTCTACTTGCCAACTTTAATTTGAGTCTCTTTGGATGATGAACTTGGTAATAGAATCTGGTAGTTGTATAGTTTCAAAAAATCTTACGCCTAGATATCTTGTTGAGTAAGCTTTTGTTGTATAGTTTCAAAAATCTTATGCCTAGATATCTTGTTGAGTGTAAGATTTCTCCAATTAACAAGGTGAAAATATCTCCTTTTTGTTGCCTTGTATATGCTCTTTGCCTTTTATTTTTGTCATTCACTTTACTCAGGGTATCAATATCGTTTAGTTATTTTTGTCTGGGTCAATAGGCATTTTGTGTTGGAAGCCTGAGTTCCAATTCTGGCTAGTTTCTTTGGCAAGCTATAGCTGATAAAACTTCATGAATCTACTACGCTCAAGGGATGCCATTTCTGGATTCTTTTGACATTTTTCTTTAATTTTAAGGCTCTTGAAGCTGAAGGAATGGATATGGAAATTGATTTGTCCAACCTTGGAACTGTCAACACAATGTTTGCAGCATTGTTTAGGTTAGTCTTCCTCCCAAATTTTTTTCTTTCTGGTGATGTTTTTGATTAGTTTTCTTAAATTTGTTTTTTTTTTCTGGATAGCAAGTTGGGTGTTCCTATCAAAACAACTATTTCTGCTAATGTTCTTGAAGAAGCTTTGAATGGAACTGTCACGGTCCGCCCTCTTCCAATTGGCACATCAGTCAGTGGAAAGGTATAATTTAATTGTCTCTTCAAGTGACCGGATAAATTTATCAGCTGTACCAGGGTTTTGACATCCGTTGAGCTTTAATGCAGGTAGAAAAGCAAAATGCTCATTTTTTCGGTGTAACAATTAGTGACGAACAAGCAGAAGCAGGGATTGTAGTAAGAGTTACTTCAGCTGCCCAAAGCAAATTCAAGGTACATTTTATACATTTATATGATAGGTACTTTCATGCACTTTGTATTTTCATGCCTTTTTTTTCCTACTGTGGTGATACTAAAACTGAGTTTCATGAAATTTTCAGCTACTATATTTTGAACATGATGTGAGTGGGGGTTACGGCCTGGCCTTGCAGGTAATGCATTTTACAGTTTTTATTCTTCATTGTGTGCTTACAGAGGATTCCTATAGCCAACCCTTTGTTATTGTGTGCTTGAGATATTTCTTGCTATAGATTTCTGCTGAACAACCTCGATGTATGCTTAGAGTAAAGTTAAATGGAATTGATGCTGAATTCCGAGTAATTTGATGTGGCTAGAGAACAATAAAGCAGTAATAGGGATTAGGGAACTATCGCCCTAGGGCTGGATATGTTTAATTACTAACAAATGAATTTTGTAGGCATGTTTTGCCTGATCTTACTTTATATTTTTTGTAGTCGAGACATTTGTAAAATGGCTTTTCTATCATTTCTTAGAAAATTTGACAAAATTATATAAGAAAATAGCATACCTCCAGTTTTGGTTAATAAATGGTATATCTCTAACCTTTTAAGAGAGTTCATGCATCATTCCAATATTGATTACATTTATAGATTCCCCATGTACACCCAATTTTAGTAAGTTTCTGTTGTACACTAAGGATCCAAACAAAGTTTTCACACCTAGAACGGTCATCACATATCATTTTGATTTGGCTATTCTTCTATATGTGTCATCATATTAAGTTGAAAATTTTGGGCATAGCCTTTGGCCACCAAGTGTGCTTTGGGTATATCAATCCAACCACCTTACCAACTTTTATTGTTGCTCATTAACAACCAACAGTAGAATTATCGGACGCAAAGGACAAAGCTCCGGAGTACCACAAGGTGTAAGCCAGAACATATCCTCAATTAGTCTCCAAAATTAAAAGATATCTCCTCGATCGGTGTTTGTGATAGCTTTAATGTGAAAGAAGTTTACCTATAGACTTAGGAAAGTAAATAGAGAGCAAGGATGACACAAAGGTGTAATGATTCATGAGTTCTCAAGAATGTATAGATAGGATGATGATTAGGAGTAGAACAATAACTTTTCTAGCCACTAGCGAAAGATTGTGTGGAAAGAAGGTAAATTCAACTTTAGTGTATCCAAATAGCTCGTCAGTGGTTGCCGGGAAAAAGCTCCAAAATAGTTGGGTAGGCTCGCCTGCTTTTGTTGGCTATCACTATGGGAAAAATCTGGTTTGCATCTTGCTATACATGTCTATCTTGAACCTTAAAGAGTATATTAGATGTTTCTTTTCCCTTGTAACTTCCAAGTTCCAACCCTGTGTGTATCTTCTGTATTTATGAGCTTGTAAACTGGATTTTAGATGAAGCAATTTAGTGATTAGTGTTTCTTAATAAAACTGATCCATTGTCACTATTTACAGGAAGATAGTGAAAAAGCCGGCAAGGTAACCTCCGCGGGAATGTATTTCTTGCACTTTCAAGTGTACAGAATGGATTCAACTGTAAATGCGGTATGTGAATTCATCTTAGTGGTTAAAATTCAATAGTATAGCATACAGTGTTATCAAAAGTGATAATACTTGTGATGATGTAGTTAGCAATGGCCAAAGATCCTGAAGCTGCTTTCTTTAAGAGGCTGGAGGGCCTTCAACCTTGTGAGGTCTCACAACTAAATGCTGGCACTCACATATTTGCTGTTTATGGTCTGAGCTGCTTTTATTTTTGTTGAATATATTGTTTTGTTTTTGACAAACACTATCTAATTGCTACTGATTATGCAAATGCTAAGTCTATATTTGATCTGATGTCTGCAGGAGATAATTTCTTTAAGCCTGCTAGTTACACTATTGAGGCTCTGTGTGCCAAGACATACGAGGACACAACTCATAATCTCCAGGATATCGAGGCTCAGATATTGAGGAAGAGAAATGAGCTTCGACAGTTTGAGACAGAATATAGAAAGGTTGTTTATCTGCTAATCGACAATGTCTGTCATTCATTTGTCGTACCTCATGCATCCTCATTCCACTATTTTCCATGTGGTGTTTACAGGCATTAGCGCGGTTCCAGGAAGTGACCAATAGATACAGCCAGGAGAAGCAGTCTGTAAGTTTGTCTGTTACCTAAGTTTCATTGCACTGAGATAGAATGATCTATTTGGTTTGCCTATATCTATCGTTTCTTAGTTACTCTGATTTATACCCGGGGGTTTTGGAGGCGGAGGAAAAGAATCATCTGTGAGTTACCCTCTGAGTGATGTTGTTTTTGTAAAGGTCGAAGAGCTGCTCAAACAGAGAGACACCATCCACTCTTCTTTCACCGTTACAAGGACAGTTGCTACCTTAAGTGGCAGTGGGAGTGGTCATTTCAGTAACGGAGGTAGCAGTAAACCTTCTGGTGATGACTCAAAACCCGATAGCCCAGAGGAAGATGGCAGTTCAGACTCCAAGGATAAATACGCGAAGAGAAAATGGTTCAACCTTAACCTCAAAGGATCCGAGAAGAAGTAACCAGACTGAAGGTAATCCATAGTCTAGATGCTACGAGTTTCCAATTCCAGCTCCGCGTTCAAGGACGAGGGCTGCCTGAAGAATTCTCCGCATGTATTATTTGTTCAATTTCTTGGGGTTCCGAGACGTTCCTTTGTTTCATTAATTTTTTTCAAAATATCATTTTTTGGGCATGTTGATGTCTGTTTTCTATCGATTGATCGAAGATATAGAAGGTTTTTTTGTTCCTGTATTGTACGTATGATTCTTCTGCTGTGTATCATAATGTACTAGTCAATGTACTCCATTATTTTCAGATCTAGATTCGATTCTATCGCGTGAAAGTATAAGAACTCAACGGGATTCTCTTCTTTGTTGATCACTAGAAGAGGAAGTGCTCTTCGAGTTCTTAATAATCATAATATTTTTTTCGTCTCGAAAAAAAAGAAAGTGTATTATGTTAAGTTAATGACGTGTGAAATTTCTTTTCAAATCAACTATCTTGAAAAGTTAAAGAGATTACAATTCAAAATTAATTTTAGGCCAATGTTGGGTTGGGACCATTCTATTCTTTTTGAGAATTTTTATTTGCCGTCCTAACTAATAAAATAACAATAAGTTCTGTTTGGATAAGGTTATGTATAATAATAAAATCATGACATTGTACTTAAGCTTATTAATCAACCAAAATAAAATAAAACAAAGTTCAAAACATTCAGTATTGTTTATTTATATGTTCTAACTTCTAACTCTTTCTTTAGCTAAAACATAGTACGGTTTATAATTGTTTTCTTTGTGTTTAGTAGATTAGTTGTCTTGGCCTTCTTTTTAGTTAGTTCCTAGATATATAATATTGTATCTTGACAATGACGACAATAACATATCTAATATAATACTACGAGTAGGGTTTGTGGAAGGTAGCGTGTAGTGTGTATGTAGCCTTATTCTTATCTGTATAGATAGAAAAGTTGTTTCCGATAAACCCTTGACTCAAGTAAAGAGAACATCATATCGTGTAGGTTATCGTATAACTTAATTTTTTTTATTTTCATTTTTTGGAAATATGACTTAATGCATAACATGGAATATATATGATTCTTTTCTATTTTGTCTCAAGAAAAGCTTGATTTGAATTCTTCTCATAGAACCAAATTAAAGTATCTTGTTGCTTATGCAAATTATTAAAAAAAATGGTTGCATTCATTGAATTTGGACTCCTATGGCACATCATGTGCCTCAAAATCAAAAAGCTGTTTGTTTATAATAAAATTAAAGCATATATTTTGAAGTTAAGCATATGATCATGTTGCTAGAAAGTTTGTTAGTCTTGACAAAAGTACCACATGCCTATGAGTGTATATGTCTTTGTATCTATTTGCATGTATAATTTTCTATATCCTTTCGAACCTGACTAATGTATGGCGTCAATATTAGCTCTTTTATGTTTGTCATAAGAATCAAATGAAGTTATTCGAAGAACCGACTGAGTCATATATACAACGGAAACCTCACAGTCGTCATCTCCAATGTTAGATAGTAGGATATGGATGAGTCGTATCTGAATTCTGATCGAACCAGAATCTTCTTTATTCGATTCATGATTTGTCAATAAGTTTTAAAGATAGAGATACAAAGGATGTATACCAAAAAGGGAAAAACAATGAAACATTAAAAGAGTAACAAAAAAGGCAAGAAAAAAAATAAGTAAATTGGTGGGATCTATAGGGACACACACAAACACGTGGAGTGTTATAAGAATTTATAAAAATAAAATAATTAACAAGTTAGAATTATATATTTATTAGGATAATTTAATGTGTATGATTAATTAATTAATTAACTACTTAATTAAGTTCCAATACATGTGCAAAAGTCTCCCAACTATTCTTTTTTTAATTATATGTTGTGTTTATATAGTTCACGGGTGTTTCTATTATTGTTAGAAATTTTATTTATTTTTTAAAAGAAGATTTTGATGGAATTGCCATTAACTATACTATATTAAATTATAATTTATAGACACCTAAACTATAAAGTAAGGTTAGGCTTCATGTTGTTCAGAGTATTGATTAATTATTATAAATTAATTAATAATTAGTTTGTGTCATCAATTTTATATATATATATATATATATATATATATATATATATATATATATATATATATATATATATATATATATATATATATATATATATATATATATATATATATATATATATATATATATATATATATATATATATATATATATATATATATATATATATATATATATATATATATATATATATATATATATATATATATATATATATATATATATATATATATATATATATATATATATATATATATATATATATATATATATAAATAAACATAATTGTCACTTCACATGACTTAAAGCTGACTCCAGTACTCCACCCAACCTATTAGGCCTTTATATGTTAAAAAAGAGTAGGTTTGTGTCACTTGGATTAAATTGATGATATTATTGATATATTGATCATAATAATTAGATACGAAATTCGTCGTTAAATAGTTCGTATCTTATGAGATTTCTAGATAATTTGTCATTAAACAGTTCATAACTGACATGATTTTTGATAATTTGTCGTTAAATTAAATTGAAGATCTTTTATTGTCTAGTGACAGAAGTTGTACGTCACTAATTAAACATTCTTTGAACATATCAAAAAAGGGATTAATATTACAACTTGAATTAATTCATTGGATTTGGATGTGATCTTTAATTAATCTTTTCTAAATCCTTCCAAAGTAATGGTTGCTTAAGGGAAAAAAAATGATTAAAAAGTTGATTAATAGACATCTTTGTTTAAACTTTTTTTGTTTGTTGATGGATCATGTCTGAAATAATGTAATGTTTTAACTTTAATAACTTGTGTAATCACTTATTATTGGTTAATTTCCTTGATAAACACCAAGTTGGTGGGCCATAATCAAGATTTGGGATATCTTAGAACGATAATAACATCATAATTTTTAATTATTAACAAGAAAAACATGATTAAGGTCTTGGTTTAATTAGTAATATATTATGATGGTGGAAGCCACTAATTAACAATTACATGGAAAAGAAATTAACACTTTGTTTAAGGACAGTTGTTGATGATTCAACAAGGAATTTGACAAAGTTGATTGGACAAGAATGCTATAAATTAAAAGTACTTAGGCAAGGGGTGGGGTTTTTGAGGGGTAGGTGGGGTGTTCATAAGTTGAGTTTTTTGTTTTTGGGTTTCTCATCTGGTGTCTGATACTCTTATTGGAGTCCAACTAATCCGCGTCAAGTAGGACCCCAGTCGAAGGGTAACGCTCCCGACTAAGGATTTTAACATTAAAGCAACCGTTGATCTGAACTCAATATGTTTGATGTAGAATGTAGATATACATAAGTGAAAACTTGCTAAAGTTGTTATGATTTACGTGTGATCACGTTTTGAGATAACTGTTTAGTAAATAACCTTTGATTCTCTACATTTTATGACCTTTTAGACAACGATCTAAAGATCCTTTTTGAGAAAACTACAAATCTTATGAGAGAACATCATACCATAGCCTAAAACTTTGTAGATGTTAGATGACAGTCTAATATTTTGTCAATTCCAAGGGATATATTAATTTGCACAACTTCTAAAAAATGAAAAATAAAAAGTAAATAGTAACCTAAAAAAAGGATGTTTATGTAAATCAACAAAACCTTACAAGTCATTCGTTTGTATTAAATTCAAATCCTAGATCCGATTTTGCGAGACATAACCCTTCTCTAACTCTTGTCAACTTTATAAGTACAATTAAGAAGTTTCAAGTGGTTTCCTTTGGTAGAGTAGATTAATAGTGTTTTCTTTTTAAATATAGATTGGTTAAAACTTGTAAAATAGTTGAATTTAGGTGCCAATTTTCAAACCAAATTCCCAAATCATGGCCAAAAAGTTAAACCAAAGTACTACTACAACCAATAAAGTTTGCAAAAGTGGACAATCACATCTTTGGTAGTTGAAATTTCAGATTTTCACAAGAATATATTTCAAACATGATATGGCTTTAATGCACTTTGATAAATTAGTGGTGTCTGCTAAAAAAATGAATCTGGCCAAAATGTGGCAAAGGTGACATGATTTAAAACTAAGTTTGTTTTTTTCCTTTAATAATTAGGCTTTTTTTGTGGCTATTTTTTCAAACTTGCATAGCATTGGCCTCATTATAATCATAGAAAATGGACAAAAATGGTCCCACTTGTTTTAAAGTTCCGACTTATTCAAATTCACATAACATAAGGCTCATTAAAGAGTTAGCAATGTGTTCTTTATCAGAAACTCAAAATTTGTGGTTAAGAGTAAAGAAATATTCCATTTCACCATAATCCTTACTGGAATACGGGATAGCGATTCAAAATACCTAAAATTATGGGAATTACAAACTGATTATTATTTAGGACGACGAGCTTAGCTTAATATGCATCGATAATGTTAAATTATTATTTTTTGCATTTAGAGATCGATAACTATATGTATCCGTCCATAAAAGTGGGACTATAGTAACCTTTAAAATAAAACAGACTACATATATACTTCAAGTATTATTATCAATAAATATAAATTAAAGATACATAAAAATATTAGAATTTAAAGTTTAATAAATGTATATTATTATTATATTTGTAAAAGTAAGATGCATGAATGTAAATGGAGCAAGTAACTACTTGTGTTTAACAAAAATGAAAAGCTAGCTAGCTAGCATACAAAACCCTAAAGTAAGTACAAACTATTTGTGTTAATTAACCACTTGTTTAATTTTCATAGATAGGTTACAAAAGTACCCAAAGTGTATAAATCCAAAATATTTTTTGTTTAGCTATTTGTTGCTAAGTCCCAACAACTTATAGTGCTATAATTAAGTTTCAATGTCTTTTTAAGTATGACCCCTTTAAATTCCCAATTAATTGAGGGTCACTTCACTAATTAAATTTCCCTTATGAGTCAGACCAATTTCTTGAGCCCCATAGCAAGGTCATTGTGTGGCCCAATCCTTGATTTTTTATTTTTCCCAACCTCTTTCTTTAGTTTTTATATACTTATAGTACTGATCGAGATCGTTTATGTGTATCTCGACTATTTATTTCTTATCAGTATCAGAATATCGCTAATATATGATAGACGTTCTATTGAAATCTTGCTTGTCGTCTAATGGAAATGTTACCGAGGAACCAGATACTGACATGCGATAGAATTCATTGAAAATTAGCGTTTTTCTGGTATATCGAATATCTACACTCGCCAAAACTTAGATAAATGGAAATAAATGACATAA